CAGGTCTCACTGAACCTCATTTCCTCACGATTTGTCACTTTCATTGGGAGAGTTCTTCCTCAGCAACACTTGTTTTTCCTGCATGACTCTCATGTGCTCTGGATTAGGACATTTCTACAGAGCAGCTTCAAGCTATTGTCCACCCGGCTCCTACAGACTCAGTTGTTTGTGAATTGCTACTATGTTAGTTTTTTTGTTTGGGATACATGGACCTCATACGCCCTACAAATCTGGACTCCATATTCATTCATGGCACAGGCCTTAGGGGTTCCATTTCTGACAGGTGTTTTTTCTCCCCCACCAATGTTCTAGTAGGCATTTTGTTTCCTCATACTTCCCAGAGTTGCATTTTCTAATCCCATTTTAAGGAAGGGTCATCTCTTTGAAGCTCTGACTTTTCTGCTCAGTTCAGATCAAAATTACCCTTCCTCTGGGAAGCCTAAGGCCACTTTTCCAGTTCCATACCTCCCTCAGTCCTTTGCGCTGAAATTTGGTTCCTCTAAGACTCTAAGCTTCCAGTTTGCATTTGCTGCATTGGCTGTGGTTTCTCTCTCCATTTCTGCCACCTGAAGATTTTCATTTCTTTTGTTCAATGTCAGCATAGACTAAAAAGTTTAAAATATCATTTTCACAACATCCTTACCATTCTGGAAAGTCCATCGTGGTGTTGCTAGACTGCCTGAGTTTGGCTGCGTATGTGCAAACAGCTTTCCAAGGAGCTGGCATGACGGTGATATACTAACTCTGTCCACAGGAAGATACCTGGGCAGCGGTGTCTGGGTGGAGAGAGGGGCCTAATGGGAGGGAGGCAGGATAGAGGCCTCCTTTGACCGAAGCACACCCTGCCAGCACTATGGGGCTGACAGAAACCCACCCGCAGCAGCCCATGACACTACGGGCGTTCTTGATCTCCTGACAACTCCCTGCTGTGTCCCGCTGGTCTCACTCACACTAGGATGTATTGTGTCTTGCCCACTTCAAGTGTCTGGTCTTGTAAAATGAGACAGGGGACAAGGGGCTAAATGTGTGCCAAAACTCAGATCCTAGAAGGCAGACATACTTGGTCTCCATAAGCCTCAGGAAGTCTCCTTCCATCATTCCCATTGGGTAAGATATGGGGAAAAGGACGGAAAAGCAAACTACTGTAAGAAACATCCTAGGTAGTAGGGCCATAACTCCCTATAGGAGGAAATGGACATACGTTCTCTGTGTTTGCCTCTGTCATATATTCATACAATCACTGGGATTGCCCCGCAGCTCTAGGTGTTAACCCTACAAGTGTCCGTGCGTAAAGTGGGGGCTGAGAGCCTTGGAGGCCGAGGGCAGTTCTCCAGACTCCCACCTCACTGGCTGCGACTTGTGTGAGAGCTAGGAGCCCACAGGACACGAGGCTCTGCAGTGCTGTCCTGAGCTTTCACTTGCTCCTGTGCAAGGGCTCCAGCCTAGTGATATTCCTGTCAGCAGAAGTTCTAGTAGTTGCAGTAGTGACCCAATGATGGCAGCAAGTCCTCCAGGGTCACACAAACTCGCACGTGCCTCCACACACTTCTGCTGTTCCTTTCCTCGCCTTCCCCAAGGGAGACCCAGAACTTTATTTTTTTTCTAATATCAAAGGAATATTTATTGTAGCCATTTTTCTTTAGTAGCACCTTTACAAAAAAATACTTTTTCTTCTTTTTTAAAAATAATATAATAGTTTATTTTTACATCATTTTGTGCCTTTTTCCATCTCAGTTGTAATCTTCGTGGGCTTCCCACCACCAATTCACCCTTGTACCATACCATAGTCCAGTGCACTCCCCTCTCCCCATTTTTTTATCCCATTCCCCACTCCACCCCCATAAAATGTCTCTGGTTGCTCATTAGTATTATTATTTTCCTCC